GACCGTTCAGGAGGCCATGGTGGAGCAGGCAGACTAGGAAACCATGGCGGAGCAGACAGTTCAGGAGGCCATGGCGGAGCAGGCAGACTAGGACGCCATGGCGGAGCAGGCAGACTAGGAAACCATGGCGGAGCAAACAGTTCAGGAGGCCATGGCGGAGCAGGCAGACTAGGAAACCATGGCGGAGCAGGCAGACTAGGAGGCCATGGTGGAGCAGGCAGTTCAGGTTGCCATGGCGGATCAGGGGACTCAGGAGGCCATGGCGGATCCTCCATGACCTTAGCCGGCTCGGCCACCACGGCCACAGGCATATGGCCCCCCCAAAAATTTTCTTGGGGAAACTTAGGAATTCTGGGGGGCACTCTGGAGGAGCAGGCACTTGAGGGCGCTCTGGAGGAGCGGGCACTGGAGGGCGCTCTGGAGGAGCGGGGCTGGATAACTCAGGGGAATCAGGAGATGAAGGAGGGCTGGACAGGACCAGCGGAGATGAAGGAGACTCCGAGGGCCGATGGAGAGCTGGACGGGACCAGCGGAGACGAAGGAGAACTTTCTGGAGCGGATTCTGGGGTGAGGATAGGAGCCGAGAAATCTGGAGGTAATGCCATGTCCAAGAGCGCTGAGTCAGTGGCGGCCGGCAGGCTTGACAACGAGCTGGTTCTGGATCGGGGATGGACGCTCTCCAGACACCAGAGATCTGGAGGTAGTGCCATGTCCAAGAGCGCTGAGTCAGTGGCGGCCGGCAGGCTTGACAACGAGCTGGTTCTGGATCGGGGATGGACGCTCTCCAGACACCAGAGGATCCCTTCCCTCCAGCTTAGTCGAGTGGTGTCTGGGAGGTCCTCGGGGCGATAGTAATTAGCCCCGATCCAGAACAGCGAGTTGAGCGTGGCGTTGTCCAAAGCCATCGCTGTGGGCCAAAGCGGCGAAACAAGCGGCGATCTCCATGATTGCTGGGAGAAACTGGGGAACAAAAAAACTTTCAAAAACGGAAAAGAAACACAGGGAGGAGAGGCGGCGCTCACTTTTTGTCGGTCTGGAATTCTGTCACATAGCTGCTGCTGTGGAGCGAGGAGACGTAGGAGAATTTGACTAACTTTAATAATCAAAAGGAAACAGGAAACACACGTAGCAAAGGTTGACATGAACAATTCCAGACAAGGGAGAACAGAACGGGCTAGAACTCAAATAGGGCAGATAACGAGGGGCAGACAGGTAATGAGGATAACTAAATGACAAAGAACACCTGGAACAAATTGGAAACAATTAGGACAGGAACGGGAAGGACCAAATAAAGGCATGGAAACACAGGGAAAACAAAACCGACCATAAACATGACAATAATATAATATAATGCATATATAATTTATATATAATATATGTAGCAATATCATATACGAATCAGCTTTTTTGATGTAGCTTCATCCTTGTTGGTTCAGGAAACAGCTATTGACACAATGTGTGACATTTCTGCTTTTCTGTTACAGCATTAATGGGCAGACAAAATCCCTGGAAGGAAATATGAGACAATTGTATCTTGCAGTATGTCAGTGTATGTTTTCATACTCAGTGTCCTTTAGTTATGACAGTCACAGTGCAGCCTGAGGAGAAATGTGAAGATGATTGTAACCTCAGATTTGGAGATTTGTGTGTGTGTGTGTGTGAGAGAATGAAACTGGGATTAGATCTGACCAATAGATATTACAGGTCACGCCTCTACCACCTGTAATTTTAACATGACAATGTGCATGTGTGTCCTGGTCCTTCATGAATCATTCAGAGGGGTTTTGACACTTGAGTAACATCTGGCAGTTTCATTGGATCATACCGCGTTTGGACTCAGAGGAAGTTTGAATGTGCAATCACAATCATTTCTCTTCTCAAACACACCTCAAATGCTATCTTGTTGTACATTTTAGACTAAATAGAACACATTTTCTCCAAAAGAGCAACTTGAGAGCATTTTTCACCAAAATCAGATCAAAGCTAAGTGAGATTTCACATTTGCATTATGCATTTACTTAGGAGATCATTTATGCAAAGTAATTTACAAATGAGAATAATACAAGCAGAGGTGGTTCGTAAAACAATAAAAGCAGTGCTACTGTACCAAATGTATAAGATGTGTTTTTGTAGATTGTTTTATCATTCTTCTCATTTAATAGATAAACCAAGCAGTATAAGTAAGCTAGTGCAGAGGAATGTATGACAGACGCTGTGCATTAACAGGTGCACAAAGTGTCTTGTTCTCACAGCTCTAAATCTCATCAGCTCTGGATACTCTGTAAGTACACTGAAACAGACTGTTTGACACTGATTTTGGTTATTATATTCAGTTCTGATGATGAACAGTTCATATAGCAAATTAATCTCTGATGATGGGATGCTTAAATATCACACAATCATACAGTAGAATACAAAAGCCTTAAAATGAGGGACTCAAAATCTGATTTAATACTGTAACATTTAAAACAAATAAACACACTGACATGAAGTGAGTAAGACATATTTAAGATTGCAGTATTTCTAGTGCTAATTAAGTACATTTGTGACATTGTTCCTGTGGCTCTTTTTAGACTGTCAGACTGTTAAATCATAATTATCATATACTTTGCCATGTAAAATGTGTTTTCAATTAACAGATGCAAAATTAGAAGCATTTTCAGTGGACTTTTGGGCCTCACTTTATATTTTATTGCATCTGCAGTATAAGTAGTAATTATGAGCTTTGTGACATTCACAATATATTGAGAAATGAATATCAGATTACTTGGATTAAGTTTTTAAAATAGTGAATAGGAATGGTTCATGTTCGTTGAGAAATGAATTCATTTTAAAATGGATTTAAAGCTGCTATGATTGAGAAAACCTGTTTGCTATTTTTGTCACACCTTCAGGGATTCAGGGATGGAAGAAGCACAATTGAAACCGTGAAAAGACAAGAGCGTGTGATAGGATGTGGGAACACTTCTTATATTAATTTCCCATCTTTTTCTTTCTCTATATTTGCTTTCTTCTGCATGTACCTCAGCGATGGTGCATTTACTCTGGTTTCTGAGTGTTAAGCATGGTGTGAAATGATCCCTTTAGAAAAGCTCTTTCCCTGCGTTCTCACTTCCAGCAGAACACAAGACTGTTCACACTTGCTGCTTTAAGTCTGATATTAGATGTGCTCAAAAGATCAGCGTAATTCTGTTCAGTCATATGATAATGACAAAGAAAAGATGCGTGGAGACTTGTTTATTTGCATGCAGGAACCAGGATGGCAAAGTTTTTATTTAAGTATTTAAATACTCAATCATGAAAGGATAATATAGATGAGATTGTATGCATTTTTAGTGAGAAACTGACAGTTTTGACAGATGTGCTATATTTGAATACAAATCTAGTATGTGTGATATGCACTGTATCTAGCGTAGCTGGCTTTAAACTGCAAATGCAATGTAACTACACCCTATATCATTAAAGTATATGAAAATTGCATTTGTGTCCAAGAACTCATGCTCATTTACTGTAAACCACTAAAGCGTTATCAGCATTCCTGACTTCCTTCCTTACTTCTTCTAATCTGTTTCTTCTGCACATTTTTTTGGTTCAAGTCCAAAATGCCCGAGGGGTCTGATGTGTGTGCGTGTGTGAAACTGTGTGGGTGTGTGTGAAGGCAGGCCGCAGAACACGCACCCTTTGTGACACAATGCCAGATACCCTGAGGTCTTAAAACTCAGATTAATAGACACACATAAACACAAGCATGTCTGCTGTATATTAATGCATAAAGATGGTACGCAAAGACTGTGCATATCTTATCCAGCTAATTAAACTAAAAAGTATAGAATAATATACTAAATCTTCATTATTCACATTAAGACAAAGAAAAGAAAAGAATAGAAAATAAATATTTTAGAGATTTTACAGGAGCAAAGGCAAGCCTGTATCTGTTTGCATCAGGTACTGTCTGTGATAGAGATGCATATTTGATATGCAGAATTTTTATCTGCAAACCATGCATGTATCCAGCTAACAGGGAACATCTTTTGAATGTTTTTTTGGCGAGGTTCTCTCAAAGTTATGAACAAACATTCTTCCATTATTAATAGTCTTTAATAACATTAGCACAAAAACATTATTTATGCATTGTTCAATGTTTTTTTTATTCCTGAAACTCTTTTTAGTTAAACGTTTATCTAACATTTTTAAGTGTTACAACTTGTTTCAGAATAGAGACCATTCAAAAGTAGAGCTCATGTAATGTTTCAAAATTGTTTCCTTACCATTTGCATAACCAATAATTTTTTTTAAACATATGAAAATGTTTTGAATGTTCAGATAAAATTCAGAAATAAGTTTTTTTAAAATAACTTAATGGGAACATTAGTAAAATGTTATGAGAACATATTTTGTTAGCTATTTAGACCTTGTAATAAATGTTTTGAGGAAAACAATATTAATTTCATTTGCAACTTGCATTAGAAATAAATGATAAAAATGAAGCATTATACACCTTTAAACATATATGTTTTGGAAAAGCATGGTATGATATGCAGTGGGAAAGTAATTAAATGCAGGTAAATAATTATGACTTCTTGTTTTGTTGTTTTGCAAAATAATATAAAAAAGTGGGGGAACACCATAAAAACCATGTAGCCAAAACCTCCTTTTTCATTCTGTTAGAGAGAATGACACAACCTTTCATTTGCATGTTAAAACCTTGTTCTTTCACCAGTGTCTTTGGTTTCTGATCCCACAAAGGATGCATTTCACACCTGTGGCTGGAGACTTTCAGTCTTTTATATGAGGTGTTAATGTGTTAACCCCCCACCACCCCCTCTCCAAAACACACTCACACACATACTGAAGTTTCTCTCCAGCACTGACAGAGTTAAGGGAGGATACACCTGTGCTATCACACACCTGTCTCAGGCTGGCAGCCAATCAGAGCAAAGAAGCCAACCTGCTAGGTGGATAAATAGAGAGACGATGTGGATAGAAATCAAACCGCTTCATTTATCAGGATACAAACACAGACAAACACATTTGAGAGAAGAGACAAGATTACAAACTAAGGATTTTATCATCACTGTCTGTCAGAGGAGTCATGACCAAGGAGATTGAGTAAGTGTCATCAATTTTGCATTTATTTGCATTAATTTATAATGCTCTAGTTAGGGCTTTCTTTACTTGGCTCTGTTGAACACAAATCCCATTTTGTTACTAAAATTGAATTGCTATAATCGCTTTCCAAAATCATGAAATATTATTTTTTTAGATTAAGGGTGATTTAACTTATGATAAAGAATACATATTTTTTTGTATTATTCACTGTCTAGACATTTTCAAATGAGCTGTTAATTTAGGACTAAAAAATCCATTTAGTTTCATATGATTCATGATTTTCTTGTGGGGTGTGTTATAGTTTGCAGTTTCACCGCTGTGAGCTGTCTGTTCCTATTGGGTAATGTCTTTCTCCTCTTCTCCCACTCTCCCTCTGCTCATGTGTAAACGGGCCCCCACATGAATGAGTACAAGATAATTTCTACTGAAAATTGACACCAGGACTCAAACACGCACACTCTGTCTCTTACTCTTTACAGACAGCCTGGTGTAACTATCCTACACTCTTAAAAATAAAGGTGCTTCAAAAGGTTCTTCACAGTGATGCCATAGAAGAACCATTTTTGGTTCCACAAAGAACCATTCAGTCAAAGGTTCTTTAAAGAACCATCCCTTTTTTACCTTTTTGTAATCTGAAGAACCTTCTTTCACCACAAAGAACCTTTTGTGAAACAGAAAGGTTCTTCAGAAGTTAAAGGTTCTTTATGGAACCATTTAGACAAAAAGGTTCTTCTATGGCATCGTGAAGCACCTTTATTTTTAAGAGTGATAGGGGCCCGAGCGCACAAACACAGAAACGCATTAGTCTTGTGCTAATGTGTCAGAGGTCGGGGTCTATGTCATTATACAGGTACCTAGAATTAGAAAATATGGGTATATCTAGAAAAGTCTGCACAGTTTTAAAAATAAATAAACAGAAAAGGCTCATTAATTTAGTGTGCGCACAGGTGCCTAAACTGCTCTGTTTGTATTTTAGCTTCCCATAGCAGACCACCTCATTGCTAATCCTAGTAGTTAGGGAAAGTGCCAAAACAAATCCAACTGTTTGAGGAGTTAGTGATCCTCTTCAAATCCATGTCTTTTGTTTGTGGTGCTTGTGTTAAGATAAATTAAGTTCCTACACTTAGGGTTTGTTTCTGACCGTTGATCCGTTACAAGAGCTTCTGCCCTTAGGAGCACAGATGAGAAGAGAAAGTCAGATTTATCACTGTTTCTTGGCATTTAGTCCTTTTCTTTTATGTTTTGCTCTTTGTGATTGTGGGATTTTCTTGAGCATTATATAGTTTAAAGTCTGGATGAAGAGCATCAGCTCTTGCACCCTGGATTTATTAAAGGCTGTAATTTTGTCACAGAACGTTTTATGTGCACCAGAGGCACATTTCTGTGGCCTTTAAGCTGTTTATCATTTTGCCATGTACATGCAAAATCACATGTTGCAGTTCCAGGTAATGCTTGCTAATATCTCCTTCTTTTGCCTAGGGCTCTCATGGTACAACAGAACGAGAGTTTCAACTACTTACGCTATCCAGACAACTACATTATGGACTCTTGGCCTAGCATGGACAGCGGTGACCTCAGCAAGACTAAACCCAGACTGTCTTCAGATGAAGAACTTGCAACTCTAAGCCTCCTCTATGAAGCCTGCAAGGTATTTTTTAAAAATATAAACAATTATTTCTTAGCATTATTTAATTTATATTATATACTGAAATAATATTATAAATGTATTATTTTTAAGACCCCTAAAGAGCAGAAGATGACATCATGTGCGCGTGAGAGCAGTATGTACATGGAAAGGTAAGTTTGACCATACACTTTTATGATTTATGAATTAAAATGCTTTCATAGTAAACATACAGTATGGGAGCATATATTGCAAGTATATAGTATAAAAGAGAAGGCAAGATGTAAATGTCATGACAGTAAGTTATCCAGATGTAAAATGTCACATTTTCTCTATCCAGTATATTGGTAGGTTGAGTAATTTAGCTAAAGATTATCTGAGGTCAGAGCTGGTTCAGCTGTTAATCCTCTTCTTCAACCCATCCCAAAAAGGCTGAGTCACTACACAGCACCCTTTTGTGCAAGTGAAAAATAGCTGCCTTTAGAGCTTGTTGGCCTCCCCGATGTCAAAGCCTGTCGAGAAACTCAAACAGTGAAAGAAAAAAAAATCAGCGTTAGGTGGCAAACAGCTCCCGCCCTGTGTTTGGCTTTGCTTTTCATGCAAAGATAGCTCCATAAACAATGCAGAGATTGAACAAAGCTTCTATTGACTTTAACTCTTTTTCATCATTGTTTAGGCAGCTAACAGTTAACCTTGCGTGAATAACATTAATGATGGAGTACCATAAAAAAATTGGTCACAATTTGTGCTGTCATTTATCTCTCAGGACAGTGAATAGCTCTTCCCCTGAGCTGGCCACGCTGGAGAACGCTCACATCATGAAGCTGCTTTCTGAAAGCATTTCCTCCAGTCACTCAAAGCAAGCATTACTGAGCACTGACAGCTACACCGGGGACAACTTGTACCCCCTCTTGCACCCAACACAGAAATCATGGCCATCTGACCAACCCTTCCTGGAGACGACCCCTGAGGTTTGCAGAGCATTTAAAAAAAAACATTTACAATATAAAATATATTAAGTGTAGTTTCTGAGCCATACCAACAGATCCTAAAAAATATGCCATGAATGCCTGAAACAGTTAGTAATTACCATCAATTTATGACACTTCTGTTTGTTTTCTTCAAAAACAAAATCAGCCTCTAGCCTACAGCACGTTTGTGGGACAAACAAGCCCAGTATACTCCGAGTCCTACTCCAACTCTCCTCCAGATAGATACAGGTGAGACTGGCTTCTTAACAGTCTGAGCCTTTACAAATCAGATATTTTTTTTCTCTTCGCGTTTATTTTCCTCAATAAAATATATGGTGACTTTACACAAGCTATAAAAAGCAATAGATAGTAGTATGTAAAATACTTAGTAATGCCATCGCATAAAAATTCATTTGACTGTTTTTCACAGGAATGACTTCCAGTTTGTTCTTGGTGCCCCACAAGCTTCTCAGCACAAGACAACAGAAATACCCACGGTGTACCTCAACAAGGGGCAGTTTTACCCTATCACACTGCAGGGAGTGGACAGCACTGCTGGGGTGCCATGCAGCAAAGTAAAAGTAAGTTATACTTTCATAGAGCCAAATAATGGAAATAAAGGACAAAATTCATGCTTGCCATATATTTGTTCCAAAGAGAAAGAGTTGCTAGTTATTTAGACATCCTTTGAGAAATTTCGACATTTTGTCATTTAGTAACCATGACGGGCAACAGCAAAGAAGCTTTGGGGGAAGATTCCTAAAACTTCCAAACTCATATGCCCTTGCATATTCTAGGTGTGACAGGTTGGCTGTTTTGTAAGCGCATACACTGCTATGGTCAGTGACAAAGCAAAGAGAAAGAGCATTAGTGTGGTGACATACAACATCGCTTGTTAAACGACAAAAAGACCTACAGGGAGTCTTACAGGCAGTCACTACTCTCTAAAAAACACAAAGTAACAGGTTCTGATAATGCTCCTTTTTTCTTCCTTTATCTCTCTCAGACGGTGATCATGGCTGTGTTTGAGAATGACAAGAGTCCTGAGATGCAGCTGAAGTACTGGAACCACTGGCACGCTCGACAGCCTACCGTTAAACAGAGAGTCATTGATATCGGTGCGTTCCTCACTATCACTCTAAGCATAAACATCAGGTATATAATCATAATTAGAATGAATGAATTCTGGAAAACAAGACAATACTGATTATGAAAATGAAGAATGTTTATATTATATACCGGTAACTATGAATTTTGTCCTTTATTTCCATTATTTGGCTCTATGAAAGTATAACTTACTTTTACTTTGCTGCATGGCACCCCATCATTAGATTTAAAATCAGATGTCATTTGGTTTTGATTGATGTGTGTTTCATATCATACAATTTATATGAATAAATTCTTCTTTATTGATACTCAGCTGACTACAAGGAAGTTTTCAGTGGAGTGAGTAACGTGGAAGAGGTGGCTTTCAACGCACTCTCCTTTATCTGGAACACCAATGAAGAAGCAAAGGTACAAGCACAAACACACAGATCCACCTGTCACTTGTTTTTGTGGGGCTGAAGTGATGGGTTGAAAGGAGGATCATTTAGAGGAGTGTCAGAGAGCAGTGGTATCTACGGTATGCGGCCTCCTCAGGCACCTGTCATCATAAGGAATAAAAAAGAAAGAGGGAGGGAAGGACGCAAGGAAGGAGAGAAAGAGAAATAGGGCACATTTCAGCATGCCCCCAGGGTAGTGATGGGTGGGACAACGAAACTCACAGCAGGTGGAGCAGAGACCGAAAGAAAGAATACAATCACTGTAACGCACTTTTATTGATTAACAGCAATGTTACAAGACATATTTAAGAGTTGCGTATTTTTTAGCTAATAATCAGAATAAACAATTCTTCCACCAAGTAAAATAATTCATTAGTCTAGCATCTAACAATATCCAGTTGCCAAGCAATATAGCAACAATACATTTTATAAATCAGAATTTGAATTCAAATATTCCAACTGTTAACTGTTATTCAACCTTGTTGTGCTAAATGAATCAGCAGCTATGAGGAACGAGGAAGAAATGTTTGGAAATCAGCACCGGTTCACTCATTTATTTATTAATCATCATCATATTTAGGTGATTGTTTTTTATTGTTGTTTTACCTCCAGTTCCAACATGTTGGATCTCGTCATGTTGTTCTTCATATGGACACTCCTTTTCTTTTGAAATGAATTGGAATTATTGAACAATCATTTGTACCATATTTTGCAGATGACACATCTAATGTTTCTCATCTCTGACACTTCCTTTTGTTTTTTTCTATATATTTTTTTCTAAATGTACTACTGTGTCATCTAGTTAAATAACAAATCCCCCTTTCCTGATTTCCAAAATGCTTTCTTGAGATTTCATGTATCATGTATTCATGTTTTTTACAGGTGCATATTGGCATCAATTCTCTGAGCACTGACTTCTCCTCGCAGAAGGGGGTCAAAGGTCTTCCTCTGAATCTTCAGATCGACACGTATGATTTCAGCTCAGGGAACAACCGCCTCATTCACAGAGCTGTTTGTCAGATTAAGATCTTCTGCGATAAGGTGAGCCAGTGCCCGACAAATTAAAAAAGTATATATTTAAAAAAATCCATCTTAAAATATATATCTTCAATAAATATATATTTTACATTTATAAAAATATTTGTAATATAATTCTATTTTATTATCTTTATAAATTAGTTTAAAGAAGCAAAACCCAAAAGAGAATCTTATAACAGCATGAAAAGATGCACACATGCATTTCAAGGCCTAATTAAACCTAAAACATGGATAAGAAACATTAAGTTTCATTATCAGGGTGTGTAGTGGATCTCTGTTGCTAATTTGGCTCATCTTGGACTGCGTCATAAACTGTTAAACAAAACACAGTCCTGACTCACTGTTACCATGACCTACTAAGTTATTTACTTGAAAAGTGTCTGACCTCCGATCTTTTACTGGCACATTTTCAATTACGTGATAACTGTTTTCACTGAAGCAGAAAATAAATAGACACTGAAGTATTTGTGGGTTTTTTCTTTCAGTCTGTCTATCTCTCTTCCGGTGTCTCTCACCCATACACTGTCTGGCACCTCTATCTTTTGATTCCTATTGATCTCTTTTGTTGAGCTGATCAGATAAATGTCATCAGAACGCCTTATCTCCTCATCTCCTTAAAGCCTGTTTGTGTGTTCCACATTGGCCATAGTTATTAGCAGTTTGACAGTGTGTGGGGGAAATGCATGATGGGAAGGTTAGATTTAACACACGTCTGACTGGTTTAGCAGCAGCAGGTGACCTGAGTGCATTACTGCATTGCTGTGGTTTCTCTAGCTGGATCAAATGCATATTTACTACACAGCTGGCATCTAAACTAGACATGAACTCTTGAGTTGTTTACAAGAATGGTTTTCAATAGACATAAGTTCTAAAGCATAGTTTTAGGAGTTTAAAAACTCTTTTAATTAACTTGGTTAATTAAGTGTTTTATAAGCCGTTCCGATATGCCAGAGCACTTTGTAATTGCTCTGATTCTAAATGTTTTATTGTCCTTGAATGCTTGCAGGGAGCAGAGAGGAAGATGAGAGACGAGGAGAGGAAGAGAAGCAAGAGGAGGACCAAGATTGACTCCAGCAACAATAGTGAGTGCTTTCAGTCATATAATTACAGCTTGAGACTTTCAGAGAACACCCATCACCACCCAAACAAAAGCATAAAGAAAACCCAGTACATATCTTCCCCGTTTGGTGTCCATGTTCTGACCCAACAAGCCACTGAAATGCTATATGGCTACTTAGGATTTCCTCCTAATTTGGCACAAGTCAAAACCAAAACTAGCTTTCAAGCACATATTTTCAACGAAGTGTAAAAGAGGGCTCTCAAACTCAAATTACCTGCGGGCCACTAGCCAAACTGTGTTTTCCACCAGAGTCTGGTTTTCAATAGTCATGCCTTCATTAATTGCTTTGAGTGTTAGATTAAAGCTGTTTGTCTTCTCCTCAGGTTGTAAACGGGCCCTAGTTTCCAGCTCTGTCGGAAAGGACTCTACCTACTTTAAAACTCTAGACGATCACGTCACACAACCTGTTTTATTCATCCCAGAGATGCACTTCAGCACCATGCAGCGCTGTGGCCTGGTACGTCTGTCTTTCACAGACACACACACACACACACACACACACACACACACACACACACGCGCTCTTCCCTATATCCTAGGATATGCGGCTTACCGCAGCATTGTTGAGTCATGTTCACCAACACCCTGAGGGCTGAGTGTATGGGAACGAGAGAGGAAAAGTGTGGGAAAAAATGCAGTGGGAAAGAAGTGGGCTTGGAAAAGAATAAGAGAAAGTGATCTCGAGATCAGACATGCTAACTGGTGCGCTCCTGAGTTTACATGATAGCGAACGAAACTCACCTGAGGAGGGGACGGCCAGGCTGACTGACACAGGGATTAACCCGTGGGAGCTTAAACACACGCACACACACTTCTGAGGGTGTTGAAGAGATGCTTTTCAGCTGGGTTAACACAGCCTAAGAGAGGAGGGATGGAGGCTGTTCTGACAGGCCTTTTTCCCACAGTCCAGACTAGCACAAATCTCACTTGTTAGATTTAGACATCATTTCATAACATCAGGCCTTTTTACATGTAGTCACAGCCCATATTAGTGACTTTAGCATATTAGTGAAGGATTAGGAAGTCATGCGATCATCGAACACACAAGAGACAGGAAACTAAGCGCCATTTTAACAATCTTGATTTTATCTGTTTGTTATTGTCCAGGTGCCCCCTGTTAGCCTGGAGGAAAGCGACAGGACATCGCTGAAACGTATCAACTGCTACGCAGACAGCGGCGACCAGAGCAGCTCCCCGCCGAGCAAACAAGCCCGCCGAGACGAGCAACAGAGAGGTATGGAAGACTCAAGATTAATTTAGAAATGCAGAAGCCTGGGAACATATCAATTTGCGATACAAATCACAGTCCCACAGTATTTTAATGCTAAATTCTTTATTCTCAGTTCTCCTGTATGTCAGGCGAGAGACTGAGGAAGTATTCGATGCCCTCATGTTGAACACGCCAACCCTTAAGGGCCTGAGAGAAGCAGTGAGTTTTCCACCTCTCTTTCCGTTACACATATTTGTGAAGATCTCACCTCGAAGAGGAATTGTACCTAAAATGTGACTCATGTCCCCTTTCTGCCTTCTCAGATTTCAGAAAAGTACGGTATGCAAGAAGACACCATTGGGAAAATCTTCAAGAAGTGCAAAAGAGGGTGAGTGAGATATTTCCAAGCTAAACTCCATTGGGCGAAAATGTTTGGGGAGCTATGACGAAGTCACGAGCACAGATAGAGGAACACTGATGTCGAAATGCTCTTTCACGGAGAAGAACGACTGTTAAACCCTTTTCTTATAATCTGAGCTCTATCTCAACAAGCTGCCAGGAAGCAAAGTCGACAGACCGGGTTGACGGGAGATCTATAGTGTTTGGAATGTGATGATTGCTGCTCCCCTTCAAAAAAGAAAAAGAGGGTGAAAGCAAAGCAAAAGAAGGAAGACAAGATGATTTCAACATAGGTAGACTCATCTGACTGTGCTGTAATTTTTTTTTTTTTGTGGTTTATGAAGCTCAGATAGAAACAGTATAGATGAGGGATGTGCAGGAAGGCGGCACTGGCGTCTACGTGCAACCTAATGAGCCCGAGCTCTAGAAAAACACCATTTATCTCTTTGGTTGTTGATCACCCATGACACCATGTAGACATTTGCGCTTACCTGTTCAATCATCCATTTCAGAACATGTGTGGGAATAACTCACCTCAGTGCATCATAAAGTATAAGGCATTAAAGTAAAGCATATAATTGTATGACCATATTTCACATCCTGCTGGAGAGTTTAAGGAGCGTTTGACCCACATAGGTCAAAGAAACATGTCCAGGACTCTATTAAAGGCGTTTTATCTTAATCATCCTAGCCTAGAGCTGTGTAACTTGGAGCTCAACTTTCCTCAGGCTGTTAGCTGATGATATGGCTGAGGGATAGGGACAGGTCGGGCCACATTCTCGCTCATTCTCTCGCCCCAATCTTTAATCAGCCTCCCTCCACCCTCAGGGCTGGGAGAGCTGGCATGACCTCGCAGTTAGTCTGTCATACACCCGCACACCATATACATGTTGGCCGGTAGAGACGACTGTTGTGCCAAATAATAGTTTGCGTAAGTCATGAGATAAGGATTTGTATTTTTAAGGATCTAAATCAGGGTCTGCCCTTAGGGAAGGAATGATGAATGCTTTAGAAGATTGTACAGGAATGCTTAATGTTTCTTTCAGCAGTTGCTAAGGCACAGTTCATCTGTACGTCAGTCAGTGTCACTCAACATAGTCATAATGACTAAAACAAATAATCGTGTAGTAATGCGCAAATGTCAAATGAGCAGGTGTTGGAATTAAAGCGGTATGGTTTTTGTGCAGATGAGAAGCAACTTTTGGAGCTGTGCGTGTTTGGTTCTAGAGATACATGATTTAATCTTAATATAACAGATATTGTCCAATTTGGGAGTTTTTATAGTGTTTTTGGTGTTAAAATATGAATATACTTAATTTTGCATGCTCATTTCCCATACTTTTACATTTAGATTACCTTTGCTGTAATCTTATGCACAATTAAAGTTAATCTTTAATAATAATTAAATGTTTCTTTAATAATATTTGAGCAAATCTCAAAATGAATATCCATTTTTCATACTGTACATTATAATGTTGTGATGCCTAAATTTACTTATAGAATTTAAAATGCTTTGAACTTTGTGAGTTTTATTATTTTTAATTCATTAAAATAGATTAGTATTTTAATGTCCAATTTGTTGGTTATCAGAGCAAAGTATGATATATGATATAATAAGAATTTCTATCACTTTTTCTTTCTTATGAACAGGATCTTTGTGAACATGGATGACAACATCATCGAGCATTACAGCAACCACTCTGCCTTCCTCATCGAGATCACTGAAGTCATGATCAACCACTTCCAGATCACACTTATGGAGTTATAAATGACATAATCAACTAGTGACACCACACCCGGTGCTGCTGCTGCTGGCAGCTTCTTTCTGCTCTTTCGATCCAAAAGCATGACAATGAGCCAGATTCTGCAGTCGCTATGGAAACAGCTCACCTGCCAGTTTCAACATTTTCAGTTTTAACAAGACATATCAATACTAAACAGTGTAAATACCATTTTCCACTTTTGTACCTTTTTTATTATTTTATCTACAATAATTTTATAACATGAGCAATTATGATCAACAAGGTACATGTTCTGTAAATATCAATTGTAAATAGACATAATTATCATAATGTTGCGTGTTGACGTGATTTTAAAAGAGTTATATGTTGTTATTTCAATGATAAACTTGCCTTTTTAGATGCTGCCTCTTTGCTGCTTATAGTAGGCCCATCATTTCTAGGACAGGATGTGAGGCGTTTGTATTGCTTTATGCTCTGATGGTGGTTCGCATGCTTATTAATCTTGCCGCGTGTTACTACAGCATACTTCTAGTCAGGGTGCTGTAACTATCAGCCTTTTAGTTTCACATCTGGAACACTCCACAAACACACACAAGTGTTTTAGACCTTTAAGTCGCACATTTCCACCCTTAAAGAGCCGCGTATTTGTCAGTGTTTCGATCACATTTTGAAAACTGGCTCCACACATTTCGAATCTGTGTGGCTGTAACTGTTGTCAGGACAACCGGCCTTTTTGTCCTCTGACATTTAGACACGAAAGTTCAGACGAACCACTGCAATGTCGAACTTGCCCAAATATCAGATTAAATAACGGTGACTTTTCATTTTGTGGATTTTGCATCACAAAATTTGTACATTTCAAATTCTTTGTATTGCTTTCGAACAATACTGATATACTAAAGCTGTGTTTTCCTTTTTTACTGCCTCTGCTTTTATATGGAAAATAAAATCCAAAATCAATAACATTTTCAAGTGTTTTTTCATTGTTTCAAGACATTTGCTTGCTTAAATCATTTACAGCTGTTAAACTGTATGGCCCACAACTTAGTAGGTCGCACACAAACTGCGATTGATGAAGTCAGAAATATTAAAAATAAAGAGCAATTACTCATATTTAAGTTCATTAATAGGCATTACCCTCGCAAAAACATGGTTTTATTATAGCAAAGTGTAGTAATTATGTTTTTTTGGTGTATTGATCACCATTTGTACAACCACAGATTTAGGCTAAATATGGTATAGGTTAAACTAAACTATGGTTAGTGTAGCAAAACCATGGTTAATTTGTGGTTACCATGTTTTAAATATAGTAACCATGTTTTGTTTTTATTTGTGGACTAGTAAAACCACAATAATTTTTTTGTAAGGGAACTTACACTTACCTGTTTCACATGATGCAAGTGCGACATGTCGCAGATCACAGAATTTTATGGGAAGACAAACAACTCAAATGTGGGACAGCGCGGTATTAAAGTGTTCGGTTTAAGTGATCAGTTACAACAGCGCAGCGCGAACATTACGCTTCTTCTTCTTCTTCATGTTTTATGGCGGGTGGCATCTATGGAGCCAGATCGGCCTCAAAAATAACACATTTGCAAAACAAAATTCATAAATGCACAGCACAATTTACATTTACAAAATCCGATTCGTAAATTCAAAACACAATTCATAAATACACAAGTAAAAGCATAAATATTTCCCCAAATGCTCACACAAATGCATCTTACCTAAATAAATTTAAAATGTTTACACAAATATGTATATATAAATTTCTTGAATTAATTTCCATCACACATTTATGAATAATGGTACATGTATTTATGGATCGTTGAATCTGCATTTGCAAATCATCACACATGCGTGGACTGCTTTGAGTTTGTGTGTGGTATTTTTGAGACCTTCCTGGCAGGTTAAGATTCATAAATATCTTTTTTTGGAGGATGTTCCGTTCAGCCAATCGCGGTGAGCTTTTAATCCACCAATCAAAACGCTCTTTCCTGAACAGACTCAAGAAGCTCAAGCTGCGCTTGTACTGTCCATTGTTCCATTGTGCTGTGCATTTATGAATTTTGTTTTGCAAATGTGTTATTTTTGAGGCCGATCTGGCTCCATAGGCATCCGACGTTAAGGTGCATTACCGCCACCTACTATGCGAACATTACTCTCCGCAGAAGTTCGTGTTTTTTTCCTGCACATAACATAATGAAGATCAGTATTAAGTTATTACATTTTCTTTCATATTACTACATTATTACATTATCTTTCATATTACTACATGTAAACAGTAGTGTTAGCTACTTTGAAGCACGTATAGCCTATATTTAGTAGTCACGTTCACAGCAGAAACTTCCATTATCCTCTTAGAATTCAAATATTTTATGGTTTATTTAAGTAAATTGTACATTTAAGGATATTTGTGTAACTGTAGCATATGATTATGCTTGAAAAAAAAGAGTAAAATGTACTGATACTTTTCTGTCAGGACATACATTTTCCCTTATGGAAATACGGAAATTAACAATGGTTTTACTATAGTAAAAGTGCAGTAACCATGGATTGATTGAATTTCATTTCAAATTTTTTTTAACCCACAGTTTAACTACAAATGTATGGTTAAAAGGTTAGTGTAATAAAATCATGGTTCATTTGAATGTGTTTTCCGATAAACCTAAAACACAAAGCAGTGCACAATTCAAAATACATCATATTGAATTTACATACACTGTCCCTAATTTTTTAAGTTTTTTTAATTAATTAAAATTTATTTAATTTGGAGTGTAGAAATAAGCCTTACAAACCGTATCCATTATATAAAATTGCAATGTTAAAGTTAAATAACAACGTTCCCTTTACTAGAGACCACAAAAATCCCATATATATATACTAGGCTATTTAATAATAGTTAAAATTTTAAATGGGCAATATTGTGCTGAATGTAGAACTTGACGACAACAACAATAATAACTAAGTACAAAATAAAAAATCTATATAGAAGCTGGGCGTGCTCCTCAAGAGGACTATGGTATTTTAAATTTATTAAAGTCTTATATATTTTATATTTGCAGTTTTTCAAAGTACAACTGTTTACATGTAGTAGAAAGGTAAGCAAAAGAAATTTAATAACTTAATACTGATCTTCATTATGTTATGTGCAGGAAAAAAACATCGGAGAGTAATGTTCGCACAGTAGGTGGCGGTAATG